TGTGAGAAGACTTTCCATTAGATACCAAGAACTTTGACCTTTTGACCTTGACCTTGGAGTTTTAACTTCTTTTTAAAACTTTAATCTTGGTCACAACTTTTGCACGGTAGATAATAGGACTTTCATATTTCACATGTATTTTTTGTAGCAAGGCCTTTCATTGAATAGCAACAACTTTGACCTTTTGACCTTGACCTTGGAGATTTACGTACTTATGAAAAAACTTAAACCTTGACCATAACTTTCGAACAGAAAGGGCTAAGGCTTTCGTACTTCACATATGTAATCCTTGTGAGAAGACCTTTCATTAGATACCAAGAACTTTAACCCTTTTGACCTTGACCTTGGAGTTGACCTACTTTTAAAAAACTTTAACCTTGGCTATAACTTTTAAAAGGTTAGGATTAGGGTTTTCATCCTTCACGTATGTATTACTCGTGACAAGACCTTTCTTAAGAAACCAACAACTCAGACCCTTTCACCTTGGAGTTTGACCTACCTTTCAAAAATTTATCCTTGACTATAACTTTTGAACAGGTGGTTCTAGGAATTTTGTATTTCACAATCGTATTTCTTGTGAGAAAAACCCTACTTTGTGTAATAATATATTTAATTTGCATTCAAGAAAAGTTTAATCTTCGTTATGTTGTCATATTGGGTGATCAGTGTTTCACAAACATATCTTGTTCCTAATATATTGAGAAGAGATAGGACTTTCATATTTGACATGTGCATTACCTGTGACAAGATAATTCCAAGCATGCTATGATTTCTTACCCCTTGACCTTCATGATTGACCTTATTAAAAAAAAAAATTAACTTCAATGATAATTTCTAAATAAATGACATGATAGGGTGTTCATATTAGACACAATATGTCATAAAAAATAACATCTCTCCCACAAAGACACCGAAAGCGGGGGACCTAAATTCTTTGAATTTGCTTGTTATATTTAATTTGCATTTAAGAAAAGTTTAATCTTCGCTATGTTGTCATCAGTGTTTCACATACACATCTTGTTCCTTATATTGAGAAGAGATAGGGCTTTCATATTTGACATGTGCATTACCTTTGACAAGATATTTCCGATCATGCTATGATTTCTGACCCCTTGACCTTGACCTTCACGATTGACCTAATATTTTAAAAATCAACTGCAGTGATGATTTCAAAATGACGTATGATAGGGCGTTCATATTTCACACAGTATGTCATAAAAATGACATGTCACCCACAAAGACACCGAAAGCGGGTGACAAAAATTCTTTTTTGAATTTGCTTGTAAAGTTTTGATGTCAAATGTTTGAATTACTGATTGAGTACATTCCGATCACCATTTTATTATTTGTTTTGTACCTCTTAGGTTATAAGTTGTAAAAATGAATATTTTATGCCCCCGTAAACGAAGATTCGGGGATATATATTTTCTGTCCTGTCCGTTCGTATGTTTGTCTGTCTGTCTCTATGTCTGTCTCTCTGTTTGTCCTCAAAAACTTTAACCTTGCCCATAACTTTTGATTTACTGGAGCTATAGCTTTCATATTTAATGTATTTCTTGTGACAAGACCTTTCTTTGGGTACACCAATTTTGACCTTTTTGACCTTGACCTTGGAGTTTGACCCACTTTTACACAAAAAATCTAAACTTTTACTCTGGCCATATCTTTTGAACAGTAGACACCAGGACATTTATACTTTAAATATGTATTTATTGTGGCAGGACCTTTCATTGGATACCAATTACCTTGACGTTTTGAACTTGACCTTGAAGATTTCCGGACTTATGAAAAAACTTTAACCTTGGCCATAATTCTTGAACGCTAAGGGCTAGTGATTTTATACTTAATATATGTTATCTTTGTAAAAAGACCCTTTATTGGATACCGAGAATTTTGATCTTTTGACTTTGATCTTGGAGTTTGACTTACTTTTAAAAAGCAAACCTTGACCATAACTTTTAAAGGGTCATGGCTAGTGCATTTATACTTGACATATTTAATCCTTATGAAGACCTTTCATTTCATAGCAAGACCTTTGACACTTTGACCTTGACCTTGGAGTTTGATCCACTTTTTAAAAATTTTAACTTTGGCCATAAATTCTGAACAGTTAGGGCTAGGGCTTCCATACTTTATATATGTATTCATTTTGGCAGGACCTTTCATTGGATACCAACTACCTTGACCTTTTGACCTTGAAGATTTCCGGACTTATGAAAAGAATTTAACCTTGGCCATAATTCTTGAACGCTAAGGGCTAGTGATCTACTTAAAATATGTAATCCTTGTGAAAAGACCCTTCATTGGAAACAAAAAACTTTGACCCTTTGACCTTGGAGTTTGACCTACTTCTAAAAAGCAAACCTTGAAGATAACTTTTAAAGGGTTATGGCTAGTGTTTTCATACCTAACATATTTAATCTTTGTGACAAGACCTTTCATTTGATAGCAAGACCTTTGGCCTTGACCTTGGAGTTTGACGTACTTTTAAATTTTTAAACCTTGGCCGGTCAGAACTTTTCAAGGGTTAGGGCTAGGGCTTCCATATCTCAAATATGAATTTTTTGTGGCAGGATCTTTCACTGGATACCAATTACCCTGATCTTTTGACCTTGTCCTTTGAGATTTCCATACTTATGAAAAAACTTGGCCAATTTTCATATTTCACAATTGTATTTCCAGTGAGATTACTAACTTTTGGTACCAATATACTGAATTTGCATTTAAGAAAAGTTCAGTCTTCGGTATGTTGCCATACGGGGGCATAAGTGTTTCAAAAACACATCTTGTTAATTTTATAAATACATTTAACCAATTCTCTTTGTGTTTCAGGTATTGAACTAATTAGATCTAAGTTTTAATGAATGATTCCAACAGAATATGACATTCAATATCTTTTTAAATTAATACCACTGTGGCAGCTTGAGAACAGAAATGGAAAATCAAAATATATATATATTTTTTATGAATTTTCAGTCAATAGGCAAGCTGAATTTTGCTTTAAAATATATGTGTGTGTCATTCAACGTCTGATGTATATGTTCAATTTCAAATCTTTTCATTATAATACTGTGCATTTTTACAATTATTATATTTACTGTATTCAGTGAATTAAAAGTACTTGATTGGATATGTTATTACAGTGTAAATAAATTCCTTATATAGGTACCTCAGATGAATTTCCTTTTATATGAAATTTGATTGCTCGATTTTAATAACAGGCACATAGTATTGTCTTTGAAAGTGCTTGGGGGGGGGGGGTAAAGAATAATTATAGTAACTCATCTGACAAGCCAAAAAGGGGACGGAGTATCCAATTTCATGATTCCTATTTCGTGTAGGGGTGGGACGATGGGGTGTGTGTGTAAAGTTCTGACATGACCCTTATTATGTTCCCCAAACGGAGTTTGGGAACATATTGTTTTTACTCTGTTTCTTATTATTATTATTTTTTTTCTTATTTGTTCTCCGGTACTTTTTTGTCCGCGAGTGTTCTCAGAAACTGTTCACCCAACTGAGCTAAAACCTTTTTAGGGTTAATAGGTGTGTAGTGTAGGTGTGCGAAACGAAGGTCATTTTGCGCGCATACGCCTGCACGTGCGTGCGCGTGAAATGAGTGAAATGACTGATATACTTAATATAGCTATAACTTTTTCATTTTTTGATGAAATGCTTTGAAACTCATTACATGAGGATATATTAATAGTGTTAATAAAATTACGCTGTCAAATTAGCATGAACTCACGCGCATGCACGTGCGCTTTGCTCTGATTGGCTGAAACAAAAATCTCAATATCTCTTTTGTTTTTCGAGGAAATGCTTTGAAATTTTAAGCATTGTCATGAATTAGGATATCCTACAATACAATATGGAAACAATTTCATGAAATCACGCGCATGCACGTGCGCTGCAATCTGATTGGCTGACACTTTAAATGTCTGTATCTTCTTTGTTTTTTGACGAAATGCTTTGAAATTTAAAACATCGTCACGCATTAGGATATCCTGCAATATGATATGCAAAAAATTTCAAGAAATCACGCGCATGCACGTGTGCTGCAATCTGATTGGCTGAAACTTTAAATGGCTATATCTCCTTTGTTTTTTGACGAAATGCTTTGAAATTTAAAACATAGTCATGCATTAGGATATTCTACAATATGATTTAGAAAAAGATTTTTGAAATCACGTGGATGCACGTGTCTCTGATTCGAAACTTGAAATGGCTATAATTCCCTTGGTTTTCAACCAAACAGGATGGGATTTAGCACATAGATAGATATAAGGGCCTCCTACAAGAGGGTACGGTCATCATACACGTGCACGCACGTGCGTGCATTTAGAACAAGTGAAATTAAATATACACTTAAATTAGTGATTTTTAAAATACTTTTGGACTAAATGCTTTAATATAAAGTATATTTAAATATTTAGAAAGTGTAGACGAGATTATATGATCATTACGCACGTGCATTCACATGGGCACGCGCGCATTGTTAAAATTTGAATATAATTGGTATCATTTTTGGGAAAACGTTGTTAAAGTAAAAAATGCACAGATGTTGTCTTATTAAATGAAGCTTACAGGAAATATGGCATCAAAAGGGATTTATTTCAAACATTAGTTTTACAATGTATTGCAACGATCGATGTAAAACAAAAAAAGATTTCATTTTCTCTCAACCAGGACTACTGGTATTTCTCGCCTTGGGGGGCAGGAATCTTGCTCACTCCCTCAGTGGTATACTTACACTGTAAATAAATCATATGACTATTGTTGTATTTACATGTATCTGTGTTTCCAGTCTTCGAGAAAATATGAAATATTTCAAACATCGTGTACACGTACGTTACATTGAGCTTTGCCAGAGTGGTTTTTCTTTTCACTGATTAACCTTCATATTAAATTCAAAGCAACATACAACCAATAACATTAAATTAATAAATACAATAATTTATTGTTTTTATTGAACATCTTTTTAAAAATATATAATTTATAATCTAAACATAACAAGTTTTACCGGGGGTAATACAGTTTCCATTCACATGTGTTATACTATTTCCATTAATCTCCGATTCCTTTTTAGAGTTGGGGGAATCAGAATTTGATACAGGGTAAAGCATGTCATTACTAAGGACGGTGTTATCTGGAGCTGCACAGAGAGAATTGTTTCGTAGAGAAAACTCGATCTGTTCAGAAGGGGGAGGGGGAGGTAAATAATTACTGACGTATGAAAACGTGTCGTCATTGTCCTCCAAATCATAACACTTCGTCACTGACCCCACAATGTCCTGTCGTGACCGCATTGACGAAAATGTCCAGCACCTAGACCTAAAGCGCGCGTTCGAATGTTCCATATTGAAGAAATCGTCTGATCGACATTTGGTGTCATTGGTGTCACTTTTTTCACTTGGTTTATATATATCCGGGGTGGATGTCAGGATCTGTTGACGCTTTCTTCTATCTTTTTTGGCTTTATATGATTTCATATCGGAAGTATCTGACTGAGTTCGATCGAACGATTCGTCGTGCGGAGACTTCGTATTATTTGGCGCGGAAGTGTCTATGGGAGTCAAATTCTCCATAGACTTCCTGGACCTAGAATTTTCTGCTAAAGTAGTATCCATGGTAACAGTTTCCTCCTTGACATCTGATATACCGAGGTCGACATCCAGCCCGCTGTCTCGGCGATCGTCCTCATCCATCAAGGCCGAAATCCTCCCAGTTAGATGGCTGACTCTTCTTTCAAGGTCTCTAATCTGCACCATTTTCTGAAAAGAGGCATCAAATGTTAAATATATTAAAATCAGAGATTAAAAAATAAAAGAAAACTACAGGGCTTAATGTGCAGTGAAATCGAAACATTCCCCATGAAGAAGACATACACAATCAAACATGAATATAGTAGCACAACAGGGAAATAAATTTTACACTAAATGCAAATTATCACTGACCTCTTTTACGTTAACTTTTAAGACATCATTCTCCGACTGCAGTTGAAAAATATCAAGGTCGTCTGTAGATATTGATGCTTTCTGTTTGAAGTCATACATTGTGACAGATAACTTCGACTGTTTTTCTATTGGGGATTTCCACCAGTATCGAACCTAACGAAAATACATTGATATATAACTAAATGTACTTAATGCACTAGACTTTTCCGAGATAAAAAATGTTTGTTTTCAAAAATATCTCTTTAACTTGCTTAATTTATTACCTTAGGAAGGAAGACTGTAATTTGCACCACCACTGTGCAAATAGTTATCATGAGAATTTCTGTAATGTAAATTCCATCAGGACTGTGACGTAGTAGTGACGTCAGCATGAAGGTTGGAGCAGACAACAGAAGTGTACAGAAAATGCTGATGATAATGCTGGGAGAATCCCTCATTGCTGGAAGCGTCACATTTCTCGTCTGCCAGGCCAAAAATAACCCGTATCCCAACAAAGCTGTCTTCCATAGCAGGAGGAAAGCCAGCCATCCAGAAGTTCCATTTGATGAACATTCTTGAATCAAAACGTACTCCGAACCTCGTGTCTCATTATGTGTATTTTCACTGTTAGTCTGAAACAAATGAAAAAAATCGAAATAAGGTATCCAGATCTAATGCCCACTTATAAAATAATAATGCTTATGATTTGCAGCCCTCTAGTTGCAAGATGTCATGAAAATATATCTATCAAAGGTTAGCTTTTAAAATATTGATTGTTTGTCCTCTCCTGATTCACAATCAAAATTTGGGTCGATAGGTAGGTGAACAAAGTACTTTTCTCAGAAAATATCAATTTTAATGCTTAATAATTAACACATATTTTCCAGAATGCATGAAAGATTGCTTCCTGGGGGTTAAAAAAGTTTTGAGTCAGGCTATTTTAGGTAGTCGGTCGGGAGAGGGCAACCAAAATTGACCGCTCAACTTACAATCATTAGGTATTTGATTTTCCTTGATGTCATGGTATCCAAGCTCTGCCATATTGTTAAAATAACAACATCAACGACGATAAACATGGAGGACATTAAAAAGAGACGACTGTCCTTTATCACCTGCAAATAAAATTAAATGATGAGCAATTTTTTTTTTCATTTGAAATGAACTATAGAAATATATACCACAGTAAACTGGTCAAGAACAAAATATTTGCAACTATTCTGAAAACACCTTTAGTTTATAGATTGGTGTGTAAGCGTTTAAGGCATACATTGCTTTACATGCTGATGAAATTGTAAATGTGGGTGAAAGGTATTTTTGATATTTAAAAATTCATAGGATCGAGTCTGTAAACATTAGTTGATCAAAATATAAAATACATGGTTACTGTCTTGAAATATAAGCGATATTTGGGCGAGGGTAAATAAACGTGATAGAGGGCGAGGCTTGCCGAGCCCTCTTACGTTTTCGACCCGAGCCCAAAATCTTATATTCAGCAACAAAATTTTAATAGAATAAAGCTGCCCTAAACATTGCAGTATACGTGACGTCACAATGCTTGGAACTACATACCACCCTTTTGTTACCTTTATTAGGTCAATGCAAGGGGTAGTTGCAGGATAAAAAATCATATTCAGTTTAATAGAATAAAGCTGCCTCTCGGTGCTAATGCTTGACTTACCACCCTTTTGACTCCAGCGTTTCGAAAAATCTGGAAAACTCTCCAGGACTTGGCAAACATTGGACCGAACACCAAGGAAACCCCAATTGTAACCAACCAGAGTCTGATCTGTAATAACAACAAAATGTCAGGTCCTTAATTAGGATTTACAGCCTTTATGGGAGGCAGGAAATGATAATAGATGTTGCTTACACTGAATTCTACAGGTACTTGTCTTACCTGACAGGTAACGGTGGCCTCTGGATATCGCTCTGCCAAGAAGAAATCCATCCCAAACATCAGACACACGAAATTCAAACACAGCCCACCCACACTTATAAGAACATTTAGTCGAGGACTGGACATTTTGATGAACCTGAAAAATACAAAATAAATTTATGGTTTATAAGCATTGCCTCTCGCTGCGAGGTTGCATGTTACATGTAAACACATAGCTTACGATGGTGAAAATTAAGAAAAGCAATTAATTGATTTCATTAATGCATATTTTATATGATTGCAATAAAAACTAATTGAATTCATTTGTATCTGTATAGGAAGCTTACAAAATAATTAAGGAGACATACCTTTTATTTCGATGAAAAACATTGAAGGTCAAAAACGCCACAGTGACAACAATACCCAGTGTCGTCGCCACGCAAGATACTGCAAAACTTTCGGCACCAACTGTACGTATAGCCATTGCCTCCTCTTCTCCTTAAAAACTCTAGCAAACCAACCTGAGAGTATGAAGAACATTTAGCAAGCCATTGTCTTTATGCAACAGTCCCTGTCAATTTTAATTTGCACTTTGTTGAAGATAACTGACAGAGTCTATAAACGAGCTATCGTCAGCATCTCCTCCGAGTGGACAATTTCTTGTAACACATAATTAATCAATTTCAGATAGTCGTTTGATCGTCTTGCGTTCTTTAAGTAATTGCAATGTTATGATATTTTTTTAATTTGTATTGCAATGTTATGGAAAAACATACAAAGCTTTCTGCCAATCATTTTCAGTTATGAATGATACTAATTTTCTTTTTCAATTACAAAGCAATTTCTTTCAATTGTTTTAAATGACAAGGAGTTTTATTTTAGGAAGCGAGAAATATTGATTTTCTATGGAACTTTTAATACAAATGTAAACAAAATGATCGTAAAATGTACTTTTTTACCTGACAAAACAAGTCTTCTTATAATAAATCCATATAAATATTCAGAATTCATAGATCCTGCCACAAGGGTATATTTAGAACCAAGAACAGCATTTACACTAACTTGCACGCTTATTTTGTCTTTATAGAATGCATTTTTTACAGATGGCGAATTCTTTGGGACAGTTGTGACGCACTAACACTTTTACGATACTGGAAGAGAATCGAACGCACCCCCGGGGGATACGGTTGCAGAACGGAGTGAGAAAAGTGTGCGGATTTTTTCACGCGCTTGTCTGCAATTACTGTCCAACTTGTTCCGGAGGCGTAAAATTATCTGTTTCTGCAAATAATTACAGTTTAAAATGGGCCAATTTTGATGATATATTACACTTTTATGTGTGTTAAGTTTGTCAAAGAAAACATGCTTATAGTTGCAAGATAATTATCGGTGGAATAAGATCTCAACAGTTAAATGTCCAGCGGAAGTATTTTCGAATTTCATTTTAATCAGATAACATTTTGTAGTGTTAATCAGATATGCGAAAATATTATCATGTTTTTAATTATTATTGAAGTGACCGACAGGAGTTGAAGGGCACCACGACTTGGACAAAATCATATTGATGTACAAGTGGGCAAGATTTGCATGTTCACATCTCTTGTGTCGCTGGGTATACTGGGTCTAATTTTATTGTAATTTATAGAGTTTGGATTGGCTGAAGGTTTTAGGATGATGTCTAATATGAAGTACATGTTTCCGAGAATTTGACAGATTTATTGCCTATTGTAACGTCTACAAGTAATATCACAGACACCAGGCAGCATTAAGATTTAATGCGCCACAATACCCGTAGAACAAGAATAACAGAACAAGCTAAAGCACTTAATAATATACAATACTACATGCAGCCCATAGCAAATGATTGTGTCATATCAAACAATTTTACAATGATTGGATAAATGTTCAACAAATCAAAGCGAAAGCTGTGAACAATGAAGAGTGTTGAATTGGTTGCTTTTATAAAAATAAAGTTAAACAATGACAAAAAGATATGTGTATTGAGAGTTAACACAGAAAATTAAGAAAGAAAATTAAAAGATTTACATACAAATTACTCGTGTTTTTGCAAGTCCATCAATATATTCCTGACAGAAAAGAATACGAATAATTCGTTCTGAATATATAAAGAGAAAGAAAATATTTGATATAACCTGTCTTTTTTTTTTACTAAATAGTTTTATATATATACTAGTATGTAATGTTTTCCATGATTAAAGCAGCACGTTTCATTACACACTTTGTCGCAGAAATTCTAAAGGAATATATGAAAATCTATCTAAGAGGAGTGGGGTTTAAACCTCTAGCAATCATAGGCGAGTTATGTTCGTGTAATTATACGTCTCAATTACAAAGTAAGCCATACCAAAGTGTTTATATTCATTAAAAGCGATACAAATGTGTAAAGTAATGACGGCAGCTAAAATGTTCCCATACAAGTCCAGATAGTCATCTTGCATTCAACAGAGTGACTCCATTTTCAGATTGGTAATTAACAAGTCAACGATTATATTTACACTTGATCGACACCTTACAACGTTATTTTTTTTAGTGAATTCATTTTCTTCTCCATGAAAACTTGAGACATGCCTTTCTTGTATGTATTTTAACAACTATGCGAATAGCATAACACTGAAAGTACCTTATTACAACTTTTAGAATTAAACTTTTTCTCTTGTTTCAGTCCCAATTCGAATTCCTTTCATTCATAAATGTAAGAAGGTGGTAATATTTTAGCAAGAACCCAGGGACTAGTTTCGACACATCCAGTCCTAAACTTTATGCACAAATATTGTCAATGTCTTTGCATAACTACTAATATTAAATGTAAATTACAGTTATACGATATCGTATCATTATAAATATATTAACGAGACAAATGGGTTAATTTTGGGTTCTTTTTAAATTTAAAATACAAATATAAACTTGGATAAAACTTTTGCCAAAATTGCATTGATGTTATAGTTCTGCAAAAAAGTACAATTTAGATCTTTTTTATTTTTTTTATCTTTTTTTTCCAACCAAAACCTCAAGAAAAGGGTTTTTCCATTTTTACTATTCCTAACATTTTTTGCGGAAGTCTTAATTTATTATCCTTTTAAAACGATCTTCATAGTCGCTAATTACATTTTATTTCAGAGTAGGTCATGCTTCTTCTTACGAGATATTTTTCATATTGTTCTCTCTCTTTCTATTTTTACAAATGTCTGCTTCAAATATACATGTACTTTTTGAAAAATATAACCAATCAAATTTATGTAATATTTTGATAAGTCATCAGCTGGTTATTGTAAACGTAAAAAAATACCCTGCGACCAGAATAGAGGGGGTAATTGTATAGTGACATTTGGCTAAGTGAACGTTTTCTCTCTCTCTCTGTGTGTGTGTGTGTGTGTGTGTGTGTGTGTGTGTGTTTAAAGCATATATTCTTTTTTATATATGGCATTCGAACGTTGCACTACCTTCTATGTACAAAAAGCAAATTAGTCGAATGAGACTTTTATCTCACGAAAATCTTGAAATAGAGACAGGACAACATAAGAATATACCTAGGGAGACTAGAATGTGTGAATATGAAGTAGGGGATGAATATCATTTTGTTTTAATATGTCCATATTTTGAAAAGCTTCTTTAAAAACATATTAAGAGGTAATACATGTACATACTATCAGTAGTTATCTGTTTTTAAATTTGTACAATTATAATAGCGCTTCACAATGTACATGAACTCTGCAATTAATGGAAATATATTCATTATTCTTTTAAGTTGAGGGAAAGCTTTTAGTCACTTATATACGGCAATTCTCCATGAAGTCATTATATTTATTACAGGTTGTATGTTATATGTGTAATCTATAAATACCGACATCGAATGCCATTATGTAATATTTTGTATTATATGTTATTAAAATGCGACAAGATGTATGTCTAATGGTCTTTCCACTCTCGCAATTCTTATGGTTCAAAGTGCAAAAACTGCATTCAATTTCATTTAATATACTTTAAATTTTTCAATTATTGTAAAAAATGTATAGGTTGCCATATTATCTTATATTAAGATGGGATGTATAAATAAACAGAAGTATATGTGAACAAAAAAATCGCACATTTTTTGTAAACAGTATTATGAAAAATATGTAAAAACAGCTGGTTAAATGCATAATTCTGATGCCGAATGTTCCTAAATAATTCCTACTTATAAGATATTTTTGATTTGTGAATATCAGGGAAACTTTTACATTAGAAGTACAGTAAAGCAAATGCCTGAATGAAGAGACCTGAGAAGGAGTTATTGCCCTTGTCAACATTTTTTCAAGATTGAACAATTGATTAGATAAAGAAAATATGCATTTTTAAAAATTCTTTTACTTTACAATATTTATCAGTACACCTATTAAAAAGCATTCCTTCAAAAGATATTGTTCTATCAGGTATTAATTTAAAATAAAACAGTTTTTTGCATATGACATGATAGGAGGGTGGAATTACCTTAAGCAATGAATTAATAATATTGTGGAATTACCTTAAGCAATAAATTAATAACAACATAAAAACAGATCGTCACTCGGAGAAAAGTTTGATATACATGTATTGCATCCCCACACATACACATCTAAAAAAAATGGATGCAAGGAAAAGGAGAGAGAGAGAGAGAGTACGAAGTACAGGACAACCAGGTGTGACAGACCTTAAAAGTACAACATTTACATGAGGGAGAAGGTGGCAGTCTAAAAGTTTAAAAGGAAATTAAAAGGGTACCGAAGATATATGTCCACGTTCATCAATGAGTGTTAAGATATTTTTCAAAACATTTTAAAAATAAATATTTTCTGTTAGTTATAAATAAACATGAAAAAATAGAAAGCCCGATATTGACATTTTTTTTTCAATTAAGAATTATTATGAAAAAAATTATCAAATAAGAGAAATGAAGTATTTTGCCTCTACATATACTCACCGTCACATAAAAAATCCAACATAACAATGTCTCTAAAAATATTTAGCACATTTGGTAATTAAAGTTCTAGGGAGATAGATAAAGTGCATTTATGTTTGTTTAGCATTGTATCGTATAACAGTATCATGTTTGATAAAGTGTTGGAAAGTCAGCTCCTACATTGTTTTGGAATCCATTTAAATCTGTCCGAACAAAACTCAATACAGCCAACACAATGGTGTCGAGCAAACAAATGGCGACTGACCTGTCATTGCAATCTTCTAGAATGCATCTTGAAAAGATTGAAAAAAAATCAAGATTTTTTCTTTACTATTCTATGTGACAAAGACGTTTATCGAAGGTTTATTAATAATGATGTAATAGAACAGAATAACGCCGCGGTGCTAATACAGAATATTTCAATTAAGGATTTATCCACACTGATGTCAATATACAATATTTACTAAATAACTTGTACTAGTAGAGGTGGATTTGTTACTGGTAGGAGTGGAAGATGATTCGTATCTTAATCCATCACTTTAAACGATATATGTAAATATGCTAGAAAATCAAATCTGATTCCAAGATACTGCATTTTCCTAATTAGCTCTAATGCCCACGCTGTAAGACAGTAAGAATATAAGCTAATCACAAAATACATTGATTTAATAAAAATGTTTACTTCCTCTTATTCAAAAACATTAAATTTAATAAATAAAGGATAATGCCATGATTGTGATTTGTTGAATCCACCTGAAGAAATCCGCGTGATTAAAATTTTGTGGTATAATTTTTAAAGATTAAAAGGAAATTAAATCCATCCCTTGCTCTTATGATTTTTTTAGTGAGTTCAATTAAATTTATTAACTCAAAACCATGTAAATGGTACATGAGGTATAAAAACATATATACATATAATAAGTGGGTCAAGCAGAACGTGATAACTAAGGAGAACAGACAATACTATTAATTTTAGAAATAAATGTACATATTTTTTTTTCAAAGAAGCAACATCATTTTGGCATATGACTTCACAAAACTTGATAATATTTGGATTTAAATAGATCATAATTTTTGTTCAGAAGTTTGTATTGCTTATAGAACTTTTGAGCTTGGGTACTGTTTGTTATCTCCATATACATTGTATTTCAGTACAGAATTTTGATACATGCGAAACTAGGTTCAAATTGTTCCCCAAAGCGTCGAAAAATAAAGTTCAAAATTTGTATCATAATGACATGATGTGCAGTCAGAAAATAGAGAAGCACAATCGTGGATTGTCAATTTTTAAACGGCTGTACAGCGAATCCATAGTTACAGCTTTTTCAAATGTATAATTTAAATCCCGAGGCGGAAGTTGGGCGCGAAAGGTCGGGTACGCCATAGTTAGCATGCATGCTAGTGACGTATTTCCGCGTTGCACAAAGCCAGGCGATCCAGCAGCTCCCCCACCTACCCTGGATTGAACCAAAACAGAGTGAGGGTCGTTCATTCCTTGAAATCCCCCGGGTCCATACTGTCGGCGGAAGTAATCACTGGATTCCACAACAATCGGGTGTTCAGGTGTCAAAATTGGACATTCAACGGAAATTTTTTGTGGTTCTCCATATGGATGCCCAACAAATGTGATTCTTTCGTGAGAAGACAAACTCTCTTTTGTTAAGACACATCCAGTTGGTAATCCAGTATCTGGTTTCAGATGGAGAATAATGACATCTAACTCAGGGTTGATATAGGCCGGGGTGTTGTAAAAGAAGTACTGCTTCTGACCCACTGTCAGTGATTTGCCTTTAAATCCAAATATTGCAAATATTTTGGCGCGCTTCGTGTTGGCTGTAATGGTAAAAATCCTAGTTTCAATATAGAATTCTCACTGCTTAATCTATAGACTGTGAAGGAATGAAGTTATTCGGTAAATTAATTATGCAATAAGTCGTTGTTTTAAGGAAGTATATGCATGTAAACATAAGTTTAACTCTGAGACCAAGATGCAAATCCATATCGATATTAAAATATGAAGAAATAACTAACTGACTAAGGATAAAGTTGAATTTCATGTTTTCTTTAATTCTATTGAAAAGCCATTAAGGAAAAATAAAACAACTTCGAATTGTATAGTATATATGTAGGCCAAAATCAACGTGATATTATCAAGAATGCTGTTTTTGAGATAAGGACAAAATTTCCAATCACTCTATGAAAACAGAGTAAATATTCTTACATTCTATTACTCCATGAAACACGTGATAAACACTCAGCACAAAATCCCGTCCGACGAGAAATCCCGTGACTTGAACTTCGCTATAACCGTCCACTATCGAGATACGACAGACCAAGTTTGTAAATCTGTAGCAAACGTCCTCCAAGAAGGACACCGGTATGGCGTCACTTCCCGACATTTATAGAAGCCAAAATATATTGTCGTCTGCAAAGAAAAGTTTAAAAGATTGAATTGATTTTGAAATGTGAATATCAGGGCAAAGTTAAATAATGTATCAAATTAACGACTATTATATTCAATAGTATGTTAAGATTAAGGTGAAATTTGATTTTCTTTGAAATTTATTTTAAATATTTATTTTAAGTTTTTAAAATTTCCTTCATACTTATCTTAACAAAAAAGACATTTTCAGTCATATAAAAACCACATTAAAAACAAACTATTGAATAATATTCGAAGAACATTAACTTACAAGTGCATTTTACATGTTTCATTTCACGTTTATTTTAAGCATTTCATTTATAGATATTTGACATGATATGTGGTATAAAATGCATACATTTACCTGAATTTGTTTGATTACGTTGTCTTCTTGTCAACAAACATAACAGTAACATTTTCTATGTAGGAAAACGGACAAAGAACTTAATCAAGCTTTACTTAAACACTTACTGCGATTTTAAAAGTAAAGACAACAAAAGACTTCACACTTTTTGCTTCTGGAATTCTCGAACATTAGGTTCAGTACAATGTATATTATTTAAATCTGAGAAAAAAAAAGTGGAAAAAGAAGCTTTATTAGCAATATATATATTTAATTATTTATATTAAGCAATATTAGTAGGCAATAATAATTATAACTAGAAAATCTGCTATTGCAAGCAATAGCGTATGTCGCCCCGAACTGGACAAGGCTTTCATTTTTTTCATCACTAAAACAATACCCATTGTATCAAAACGTTTGACTGACGGTTTACTTAATATCGAGCTGCTTTTAAAATGTGCACTGGGAAATTTTAAATTCTCTCTACATGTAATAATAGTATGATATAGTCCCTTGAGGAATTTGAAGCTTTTAGGAATAAACCATGTATAACTTACACAATGAGCCCTAATAATGGCACAGGAAAAATCTCAAAATGTCATGTAAATCAAGCCTATTTTCACTACTTCCCTGCAGCCGCAACTGCTTCCAGGCCCGTGCAAATGACCTAAGCTACCACACAAATTACAGAACAGCATTTCTACATACCACTCATGATTGAACAGTAAGAGATAATGCATGGCTCAACCATCTCGTTTTCAAGCTACAATTCATCCTATGAACCCACCCCGGTTTTCTGGTGAAATACCGGAAGAGTGATTTTTTACCTTAGTTTCGTATTTCTAGTCCATATACCATATTATACAGTTATTGACTGGGTATGAGGGCAACATATGATTTGTTGGACCTGAAGGTGAAAATGTTGCCCGAGGCCGCAGGCCAAGGGCAACATTTTCACCTTCAGGTCCAACAAATCATATGTTGCCCGAATCCCAGTCTATAACTGTTTTGTTATACCCTTCACTGCTCACTTAAGAGTGATCAATTTAATCAATACACGCTATATTATCAATTATTTGTATGGAAAATTATGGCTTCTTCAGTAAATATAAAGCACCAAGCTGAGAAAGAAAAAAATCAATTATATATCTATTGTATCACAAAAATTATTTATTACAAAATATACTCTTCCCTTCTTCCTTACCTAGCTGTTAGCAACAACTCTTGTAGCCCTTAACTTTAACTATTTTCGCGTCGCCGATATTTCACAATGATTAATTAATTGTGACGTAACAAACGAGTGACGTTGCGGTCTAACAATTCTTATGTAAGACCGGTCAATAGTGAAATTGTTAGACCGACGTAATAAACAGTTCTTTTGTTGGACTTTTTATAAGTAATAAATATATAGAATGATATTTATAAGGGTATAACAAACAGTAGTAGTGACACTAAAGTGTCATTTTTCAATAAAATATACAAAGCCACCAATTCCTCCAAATGCACCCATAAAATATTCTAGCTATAAAATTACCTATAATATACATTCAAACCTTAGTTTCTCTATTTTTTCTAATTTTTCACCGGTACTTAATCCAAACTATCCTCTGCCACCGAAGTATACAATCGATGACGCCTACACAGGTTATACTGCAGCTGAGAAGTTTTTATACTACTCGGGTTCAATATATTTTTTTTTCGTTTAAAAATTTGAAATTGCTTTCTTATGGACGTTCGATCCTGAGATTTTGAGCGTAATTTGGTCAGGTCCTTTATTTATAAAATTCTGCATCATTTTTAAGTTCTAACATTAAATCTGAATTCTACAGTGCAAATTTAACTATATTCAATGAAAAAACAGCGATTAAATTCCATTCAAGTAGAATTAAGATAGGGACTATATTTTGTGGCGGAAGGTTTTTTAGACGAAAATGATCAGTTTTTCCATTTTGAACTATAACAGTACTGTTAATTTTGGATTCCTATTTTTCCATCCTGGTTGCACAAAAAGCTGGTTTTTTTTGCAGTTAAATGTGTTATGCTGGTTCTGAAATATCTATTAAATTATTTTTTATGAATTCTATAAACAAAGTGTGACAAATGTAGTAAATATATTCTGAAAATTGTGGAAAAAATTGAGCCAATTTTAACGTAAAATTGACACTTTTTTAGTAATATCTGAAAATTTACATCATATACCCCCGCTTTTGATGTTCTTTTCTAAATATTCAAGATAAATTTGGCCTATTTGCTTAAATTCAGAAAAAGTTTAAGACTTTGAAATAATTTTCTTGCTTATAAAATTTTCTATGCCAGAAAAATTACTTTTTATTAGTGCAGAAAGGTCAAATAATATTATTGATTATGCGAAGCAATTTAAAATTTTTTTAGTCACAATTTTTAAGGCAGATTAATTTGCCCTTGTACCAAATTAATCTCATTTAATTGATGGAAGCACATATGTTGTTAAAACTAATAATGGAACGAATTGGCAAAAATCTTAAAGTCATCTTGGTACGAGTTAATTAGTTGGTATCACTTCCGCTTCCGTCACTCAGAAAAATAGCGCGGCAAGAAAACAGCCATTACAAGTTATTAAGAAAAAGCAAAAACAATCTGCAGACTGCGATCGTCAAACAATGCCGCCAGTCAGAGAAAGAGTCAATACGCGTTCCAGGAAGGAGCGGGAGCGTAATTTTGTCTCACCGGGCAGAGGGCGAGGGATCCGGAGGCGACCAAACCATGCCAATCGGACCCCGCAAGCTGACCCACCAACCAACAGACCACCGAGAAGGGGAAACGCGGCCAGGAGGACACCAACGCAACCAGCCACAGTAACGGTGGCGGACCCCATGTCGGAATCAGCAGATCTCCCAGAGGGCCTAGACGAGGTCGAGGCTTCTAGCAACGCGGGTGAGTCCAATGTTTTTAGCCTCCCCATAGTAAATGATATATCTCTAAACTCAATGAATGATGAATTTGATGGCCCCCCATTTAACATCTCGGACTAACAACCAGCCCAGACTCCCAGCTCTATAGATCCTATCAGCGCCCACGTCCCCCTAAAAATCAAACAAAAGATTTGGGAGGGAAAATTTATCGATCTGTCAATATTGCTTAAGTCGGCGCGGGAAATTTCAGATCATTTAGACACACAAGGCCAAATACAAATACGTAATGGCACAATGTGCCTTGTTAAACAAAAAACACGCACCTTTTTGTCAATTGAAAAATGGACGTCGGCCTTCCTGATCTTCACTAGTATAATGTTAGAAAAATTCAGAACACGAGCACAAGAATTTTTGAAATATATGAGGGATATTAGAATGGCCGCTGACAGATCTGGGAATGGTTGGTTCACCTATGATGAACAGTTTAGGCTGCGAAAAGTATCTCACCCACACTCATCTTGGGGTATCATAAACTCTGAACTCTGGTTGATACATGTTACAAACAACTACGTCACGCAGGCCCAAGAAAAGCCCATATCCCCCCCACAAAATTTCTACCCTCATCACAAACAGCCCAACAATACAGTGGCTAAGAGAAATGCTAATTCAACATCAAATCGTTACTGCTATGATTTTAATTCAGGCAAGTCATGTAAATTTTACCCAAATTGCAGGTTTGTCCACTCATGCAATTCATGCGGCGGATCACACCCCTCGATCAAATGCAGGAATAGAAACACCAAATTCTAACATGGATATCAACAGTTTAGGAAAAACTCCAATTGATGTTCACGTTTTGTCTGCTTATCTACAAGGTTACAGCGCTAAATCTTTTCTTATAAATGGTTTTCTACACGGTTTTCAACTCCAGTACAATGGCCCAAGAATTTACAGGGAAGCACAAAATTTAAAAAGTGCTTTAGCAAACCCCAGTATAGTGGAACACAAAATACACAAAGAACTCCTCCTTTGCAGGGTGGGGGGACCATTTGAATATCCACCTTTTTCATCCCTTCAAATCTCACCCTTAGGACTTGTCCCCAAAAAGACGGAGATTTCAGACTCATTCACCACCTTTCCTTCCCGGATCAACAATCGATCAATTCTTTCATAGATCCGGCTGCATGTTCTGTACATTACGCATCAGTAGACGATGCAGCGGCTATCATCGCGACACTGGGGGCAGGCACTTTACTAGCTAAATCTGATATAAAATCTGCATTCCGGCTTATTCCTGTGGCCATAGATGATTTCGATCTATTGGGGTTTAAGTTCCAGGGTAAATACTTTTTTGACAAAATGATGCCATTCGGGGCATCAATTAGCTGTGCAATCTGGGAGAAGTTCGCAACTGCATTACATTGGATCATCCAATCTACATCACGCAACCCCCATATTCTACACTATTTAGATGATTTCCTCTTCGCGGGACCACCAAATTCTAGCCAGTGCCAATCTACACTCGACCAATTCAAAAACACATGTAGCCATATTGGAATACCGATAGCTCTTGACAAAACTACTAAGCCCAGCACAACTATAATTTTTCTGGGAATCGAATTTGACACAATTCAAATGGTAATGCGACTCCCCCAAGACAAGTTAGCTTCGCTACGGCAAAGCATTCAGACAGTCATGTTAAGTAAAAAGGTCTCCCTAAAAATCTTACAATCACTGATCGGACTCCTCAACTTTGCCTGCAAAACAGTAGCACCCGGTAGAGCCTTTTGCAGGCGTCTAGTCAATGCCACTATTGGCGTCAAAAAGCCATATCACATGATAAGAGTTAACCAAGGCATGAAAGTAGACCTTGCAGTGTGGCAACAATTTTTGGAACATTTTAATGGGGTTACAGTCATAACCTCGGGTATTTGGTCATCAGATAACAGTCTACAACTATTCACAGATAGTGCAGGGGGATCTAATGGGGGGTTTGGAATCTTCTTTGCTGGCCGCTGGGCTCACTCAAAATGGCCTACACACTGGGTTTTTTCCGACATTATTCGTGACATGACATTCTTAGAACTATTTCCAGTATACGTATCCACCCTTTTATGGCACCCATGGCTATCAAACAAACGCATTATTTTCCACATTGATAACATGGCAGTCGTACAAGTTATCAACACATGGACGTCTAAATCAAATAGGGTTATGAATATTGTCAGAAAACTTGTCCTCCTCACCTTGCAACATAACATCACAATCAAAGCCCAACACATTCCAACAAAATTGAACAAAATAGCTGATAGTCTTTCTCGTTCACAGTGGGGAAAGTTTCGCAACCTGGCTCCAGAAGCAGAGATGTGGCCCACTCAGCTTCCCAAGCAGATATGGGAGATTTAATTGCTGAATCCAAACGCCTTATCCACAGTTCTTTATCACAAAATTCATACAAAGCTTACCGGGCTGCACTGAATAAATTCCAATCATTTTTAAACATTTACGGCTTACAGCAAACCTGGCCCCTACGCAGTGACACATTACTACATTTTATAGCCTACTTATCTATCCAGAAAATGTCACACAATTCAGTGTCCCTGTACATCAGCGCATTATCTTATTACCACAAAATTAACCACCTACCCGACCCTACTAAGTCCTTCCAAATCAACAAAGCGCTACAAGGCTTAAAGCGCAACAACCGAGCGGCCCCAGACAGTCGCCTCCCAATCACCATATCAATATTAAAAAAGCTCATCGCATCGCTTCAGTCTGTATGTCACTCTACCTACGAGGTTAAATTGTTTACATGTGCCTTTTCACTCGCATACTTTGCATTACTCCGCGTCGGGGAATTCACTGTAATCAACCCAAACACGCCAAATACATCCCATTGCATACAACTCCAACACATTCAAACTCAACAAGACAAGCCCTATTTAAGGTTAACAATACCGCACTCCAAAACTGATCAGGTTGGCAAGAATACCACATTCATTATCCATAGCCAACCGCTTGCTACCTTGTGCCCAGTTAAAGCTATTTTGGATTTTATAGAATGTAGGCCCCATACCCCTGTCAACCACAGCTTCCTAATTCATCTCGATACAAAACCATTAACTAGATACCAATTCAATGCCGTCCTTCAAAAGGCCATTAAAAACATTATACCAACACCATCAGGTCATTTTGGCACGCATAGCTTTCGAATTGGTAGGGCAACAGACCTGGCATTACAGGGCACACCAGATTCTGAAATTCAGAAGTTTGGTAGATGGAAATCAGTAGCTTTTCTTAAATACATAAGGATCATGTAACTCATTCAACAACATGCCCACACCTATATATAAAAAAAAAAAAAAAAATTTAGGACATTTGGGGGGAGGGGTGCTTGAACATGTACATATAGTTAATTTTAACCCAGAACTAACCAACCCAAAGCATTGCAGGTCAAAAAATATGGATCATAGGATCTTCCATCCCTTACTGGGCAGGGGAAGCAGCCAAACACTGCCCAGGGGGACAAAGCCTGAACCTCCCTGCCACACTGTCATGGAGAACACGCAGGGGAATGCACTGGCAGGAACTCGATCCAAAAATCCTACAGCTCATCAAACAAGAAGTACCCCCCAATTACTTAGTAATTCATTTAGGATCCAATGACTTGGTAACTCCAAACTTAACTAGCAAAAAATTCATACAAGAGATTCAGTGCAGCTTCCTGCGATATAATGCCCTTCTCCCAAATACTAAACTGATGTGGTCGCATATTCTACCACGCCGTTATTGGCATGGAGCCCCATTGAACAGTGGAAAAAAGATTGACAAAAAACGCAAAAGAATCAACAAAAATATTTCTAAATTTGTCACAGAATTGGGTGGGGGTGTTATTTCTCATGGAAACATTTGTGTTGCTAATACGGACATGTTCAGATTTGATGGAACGCATCTCTCCGAGCTGGGTAATAGAACCTTTTTAAATAATGTCAAAAGTGGTTTGTGGTCCCTCATTCAAGGGAAGGGGAAAGTATCCCCTAATATAAAGTAATGGAGGAACATCATATCGATGTCTGTGGCGGGTCCGGGGGGATAAGTGGGGAGGGTTGTGAACATATCTGGCTCGTTGTTTCCCTGCCCAGCCAGCAGATAAGTTGGTGGGCACTTTGTTGGGTAGACAGGTTGTCTACAAAGTATCCAACCTATGGCAATGTTGAACAAAAGTAAAGTAAAAAGTCAAGTAAGAAGTTTTTCGATTGGGGTCTTTGCCAAGCCTGCAGGCCTGGGGCCCCCTCCACCTCTTGTAACAGGAGGGGAGGCTTAGTACTGGAGTACTTGGGTGTTAAAGTACTGCTGACCAGAAGCAATCCCTGGAAACAGGGTATACAGATGTGCTCGCAACTCTCCCGGGCCCAAATGTCTAGTACCCAAATTTGGGATCCCAGGCACCTGTGACCAACACAGGGCCACTGGTTTTGCCCGGTACTCTTTAGTGGGTATGCCAGTTGTCCTTCCGGACCCTATTCTTTATTGTACATCTATGCAATGCGGCCTATTAATGCCAACTTCCTTTTTGTCCATCACAGTTATCAATAACACAAGTTTGTACATGTATGTTTTTTCAAGTCTTTAATAAATTTAATGAAAACCATCCAACTGTTGTCTATTGCAAAGTTAACACCAAGGAAAAGGTATAGTGATCTTATGAGCATAAGGAATCAAAGAGCAATGCATGTCAGGTCCTGCAGGGCAGCGATCACCTGACTGTTCAATTAAGGCAGATTAATTTGCCCTTGTACCAAATTAATCTCATTTAATTGATGGAAGCACATATGTTGTTAAAACTAATAATGGAACGAATTGGCAAAAATCTTAAAGTCATCTTGGTACGAGTTAATTAGTTGGTATCACTTCCGCTTCCGTCACTCAGAAAAATAGCGCGGCAAGAAAACAGCCATTACAAGTTATTACCCACCCCCCCACCCCCTTCTGATAGTTGTAATTTTATACTTCTGGGAAATCGCATGCTTTCGTGGGGTCAAGTTTTCGTAAATAAGCTAATGTAGACAAGGTACAGGTCTCTTCAGGCCTAAAATACATCGAAAATTTGACCGCCGCAAAAGTTTGTTATTCCTCAGTACCGAATATGCACTCCCCTATACACTATCCCATATAAGATATATATATATATATATGTACATATCCCAAACATACCAGCTACTAATATCATTAGACAATGCAACCATTGGCTAATGAAAATAATACCAAATTGCAGTAATCTGCTGTCAGTTTTTTTGCCTTTTTCAGATAACCAGCAGCAAAGAGGGCCAACCAAAAATTCCAGCTCGAAGGAATTGAAGTCCAGAAAGGGCAGCTAATCCAAGGTCGAGCACAAATCCAGTCCAAAAGTGATTCAAGACTGTGATTAGACTAATGTCAAGTGACAGTAAGAATAAAATTCGTTTGATATCACATTTGGCCCCATGAATTTAAGAAAAATGAAGTACAACTTGAATCAAAACTGCATACTGAAAATTAAAGAGGACCATACGCTTGATTAAAAAATAATCAAATTTTTGGAGAATGTGTTACGTAAGAGGTTTTTTTAAATAGTCAAAGTATGCATGGAACGCGTTTTTCCGAAAAAATCAATAAATTTTAACGACTAACAAGCGTAATTGAATAGGTCCGCATCATAACACCACTCTTAAATTTTTACATATGAAACATCGTTATGTAAGCTTTTTATATACAAAAAATTACGATGGTGTTATTGTGCGGACCATTTTTTTTTTAATTTTTTCCTATTTACATCATGGTAATGGAAATATACAAGCATATGAAAGTGTTGTCATATGAACATTTAGAATGTGCATGAAAGACAAAATACCAGCTAAGTATCGATGAATACCCTAACAGATGACAAATTCATAACACTCGTATAATTACGAGCGGATCTGTACGGAGTATCATGATTATTACACCATCTTTCCTTGTATTAGCCATACCTTTTCACTTCCGCGTCTCCGTATCTAAGCGACAGCAGCCTGGGTTCGACTAACATGCAGACGAGATGAATGATCTACATCCAGCAGTTTAGATGAAGTGGAGGTAAATAAAAAGTTTATATACATTTTTCTTTAAAACTATATATACACACAAAGTATAATTTGTTGTGTTCTCCAAGAAGAAAATTGGCACGATTACAGTGGTATTGAAAAATGATGTAATATCTGATATGTATCGATAATGATAGACCCTGTACAAAGTATATATTACGACTTATTAATTTATTTTAGACGGCAACTGAGGGAGACAGAATATATATAAAACAAACAGATATATATACGTCAATGGAAGTTTTAAAGCTTTAATATTAGTTTTAATATGCGAGTATAACCTAGGAATGCAAGAAAGAGAAAATGAATAATATTCTTATTATACAATAATAATAATGTAATATAATTAAAATGCAGGGTTTTAAATACCGTGAAAAAATTGTTTTACATTTATTCTTAAACGTAATGCCTATCTATATTCATTTTTCCTAAAAGAAAGACATTATTAACTGTGTTTATGTTTCGTTGAATAGACGTCATTTTACAAAAGTGACGTCACAATGGTTTAACGTTAAATGAATATATGTATAGATGAGTCTAATCAATCTATATATCTACAATTATGAAAACGGATTTGAAGTTTCTAGAAAATAAGAACTCAATATATAGCTATGTGTCATCAATTACATACCTTCCAACTGGGGTTGGGGGGGGGGGGTTTAAAAGGCAAACTTTTTAAATGCCAAATTCTTTCAATATACATTTTTATGCTTACAATACTACATTTCCCTAATATCACTTCAACTTATTGTAGTAACACCTTTAATCTTCTGTTAGTTGCTACTACCAATTTTGATTTTCTTCTTGTATGTTTATATCATTACTTGTATGCCCTGATGGGCACATATCATTATGTTATTTGATCTGAAAATAAATTACATCATAAATAATAAAAACAGAGAGAATATTGCAATTAAAAATTCATGAATTCTTTTGTCGAAAGGAAAAAAAAAATGTATCTCGGGAAAAATATAAATAATTACTTTATGATATTGGACTTTTACAAGATGCGCTGACTTTTACAGTTGACAAATTACTCTCACACTAGGACAGTACGGAAGCTCTTTTACGTAAAAATATTTAGCTTGACATTTATTTCAACGAAAATAATGGGAATTTCAAAGCGCAGGTACGTGTGGACAGGAACCCCCCTCCCGATATTCAACCCCTGGGCTTATTGAGCATTTTTTTTTTCACAAAGTATATTTATTACATTTAGTCATCGTGTGTACAATAAGAAAAAAATCGTAAAAACCCCAAAATAACCGCAACACAAAAAATATTCCT